AAAGAAAATGCCCAAAGATACTTGGCACCATTGCAATTATGGTCTAAACGACGACCCGCGCCCGTCCCTTTCACATCCTAACATGAGATTGTCCACCAAATACAATGGTGGAACAAACTTGTCAAAAGGGTTAAAACATAGCAATAATCTTTGAGAAATTTAGGAGTAGATAACCTCTTAGTTACTTGAATCAAACTTGCAAAAACAAAACACTTGCCTATTTTCTAAAAAAACACACTTCACAACACCTTCAAAAACAAACTTTCAAAAACAAATGAAAACATTTTCAAAAGACATACACCTTTGTATATATCCCCACATGGATCATTACAAAGGTTGCCACCACATTGGCTTCTTTTCAAAATATTTTCAAACCCACACACACACGCACACACACACACACACACAAACACCATTTCAAACAATTGATAACAAAAGGCAAGTGATCTAAGCAAGTCACTAAGAGCCCATGGATAACCATGGATAGAAAGGGTGCTAATACCTTCCCTTTCTATAATCTACTCTCCGAACCCAAGAAAACATCTCAAAAGGTTTTTGCTGTGCTTTTTAACCTTTCCTTAGGATAAAATAAAAAGTCGGTGGCGACTCTTGCTCAACCGAAACATTTGCGAAAACAAACACAAAACCTCAAGTCAGTTCTCCCACCGTATCACAGTGATCACCGGAGCAATAGGAAGACACCTTAGAAGCTACCCTCATGCCATGTTCATGGACATGAGGACTTACTAAAACGTCCTCTACTCGACGACCACCTTTCGAGGGGCAAGGCAACAGTGAGGCGTACCCTAGGGGTGGTGTGTGATTTGTGTGTCATGTTCATTTATGTTTATCTTGTTCATGGATTGGTGATCTACGCGTTGTTTTTATTTTGACATTCATTCTTTCATGCAGTTTAATTAACAGTTTAAAAGATGCGGAATTAAAAGGTCCCACGCTATTACAAAGGCGCGGGTCCACATCGCCAAATTAATCCAGGACCCGATTTGAAATAAAATAAAGTGCGAAAAAGATAAATGTCTAATTAAGCTATTACATGGCTTTGGGAGAATTACATGAATATTCACAAAAAAGAAAATAAAAATGCGAAGAGAATTAAAATCGGGGATGCGAGGGCGTTGGACCCTTTTAAGGAAATTAAATTACAATTATGAAATTAATTAAATTTAATGAAAAAAGGAGAAGTTATTTTTGAGTTTTTCGTATTTATGGATTTTAATGAGAATTAATGGAATTAAAAAGAAAAGTTAATTAACCCTAATTCTAAACTATTTTTAATTTATTAAAAAAATGTTAAAATTAAACCTAGAATTAACCTAATTATTTAATGGCAAGTTTATTTACAAAAAATAATAATTAATAATTAATATGGTGAAAAAGAAAAAAGGATAAAAATATAAAATCCTAATTCTACATTTTTTAATTTATTAAGAGAAATATTTAAAATTAAACCTAGAATTGAAACTAAATTAATTAATAAGATTTTTTTTACAAAAAGTGTTTAAATGAAATATATTTATATTTTGCCTTTTCTGATTTTTATTATTTTTATGTTTCATGAAAATATTAATTTGAAGAATTAAATTAAATTAAACAAAACAAATAAAAATAGAAAAAAAATGAAAGAGAGCAAACCAATGGGGGTGTTGACCCCAATTTGGAGGTCATGTTGTAGCAATCAGGCCCAATGATTTAAGGCCTTTGGTTGACTTTTCAGTGCGCGTGTGGCATCGTTGACCAGGGTGTATGGAGTTCTCCAGATCAAGGCCATTGGATTGAGATCAGTGGGCACATGGCAAGCTTGGATAGTGAACATATGGTGGACATCTGGGCTTGTGGAGTACCTGAACGTATTGCAAAGAAAAATAACAAGAATATGGGGGGACCTGGGATTCGAACCCAGGTCCCAAGGCTTGCCAGCGTTACTTTCCACCATCTGAGCTGCTTTGTTACTTTGTAATGATAATGGACAACATTTAATATATAAAAAAACAAGCGCTAACGCTATTAATCAAAGAAAATGCGCTAAAGTTTGAATAACCCTATCATATGGAGACAAGTCATCATCTTCTCCACTCGTTTGCTTTTGGCCTGAAAAAAAACAGTTAGATAGCGGGGGTTTTAAACCCCCACTAAGTGCTGCATACAAAAATAGCGAATAGCACCCTGTTAATCATAAATCGAGCGCGCCATGTGGAATTAACTCATGTGAAGCTTCTGGTTTTAATGGCATAAGTCTCGTTGGCCAATTTTTCCTGAAGAGGAAACCCCTAATTTTGCAACTCTGAAACCCTAGCAAGCTTCAATGGTAACTTCATGTATAACGTACGAAAACTCAATTAAAGTACATGGTTAGCTTTAGAATGAATAAATTAACACAAATCAATCATTAGAAATTGAAAACAACGCATGAATCATGAGACACGAATATGCAAAAAGTTCGACACAGTTTGATCTCCATATACCAATTCTTGATGCTGGAAGCGTGGAAAGGGATTCAGTTAGGTTCCTTGTGTCCTAGGAAGCTTTTTCAATTGGTTAGAAGCCTTGAATCGCTTTGGAATGGTGTTTTCAGTTTTCACTTTTTTCACAAAAATTGCAAAGTTGTTTTTTGATATGGGGCGCAGCTTCAAGGTTGTAGCTTTAGGTTTATGATCAGTATATGTATGCCAATGGATTAGGGTTGGAATTTGAGTCAAGAGATCCTTGCATTGATGTATGGAATATTTGATTTTCCATGAATACTTTCCAAATCTTTTTCATGTGATTTTGATTCCAATCATGGCCAATCTTTCCAATTTTGTTGTGCACGGATCTTGAGTATTTAAGGAGAGCAAATGCTGCATAAAAAGATTCAAATGCATTGGTTTAGCATTTTTTTCATATTTTATTTAATTAAATGAATTAATAGTAATTAAAAATTCAAATAAATAATAAAAAATGATGAAATAAATCCCCTTTGGGCCAAATGGTCGTGCATAGCCTTTGGATGATGAATCTTGGAAGAAAATGTGACCCATTAGCAATTTTGAGGCATTTGAAGTAAAGTTGACTTTTCAAAATTCCCAAAAATTTCCCAACTTCCACAAGGCATATCTTGCTCAATTTTTAAGCTTTGATCATGTTCTTGGACATTTTGGAAAGGTCTTGAAGTCCTCTAACCAATGTCTTTGGTCCCATGTAATTTTGATTCACCAATCTCAAGTTATGGTCTTTGACTTAAAGTCCCTTTTTGTTGACTTTTGAAAATGACCTATAATGTTGAAATTGATAACTTTTTGTGAGAGCATTTCTTGGACTTGAAGTGTGAAGATGAGTTGTAGGAAATGTCTTTCTCTTCAAAATGAGCTTTGGATGGAATTTTTCTGATAAACCATGTGGAAGTTATGCCTTGGTCAAGTTACAATTGACTTTTTCAACTGTCCAAATATGGAAACTTTTGCATCTTGAGACTTTTTGAGCCATACCTTGAAAATCATGATCAAGATTTGATCAAATGATGTTTGTGGCTTCAAAATAAGATGTTGACAAAAAATTTGAACTTTTGACTGTCAAATGACCATTTTGCCCCTGCAGTTGACTGTAGGGCCATTTGGGTTTTTGACTGTGCAATTTTGTGCTGTAAGTCTTGAAACTTGGTATGAGGATGCTTGACCATGTTTGTAGGCATGTGGGACTTGATTGGACCCTTGGAAACTTCAATTTCTTTGTCAGAACCAAAACCCTAGTTTTTGATTGTTAGGAGGCCCTTGAACTGTGCAACCCCTGGGGAGATTTTGAAGCTTTGACTTTGCAACTCTTGAAGAATATGGGAGGGCAAATTTTGGGGTACAACAACATTGAAACCATGTTCTATAGGTTTCAAGTTCTTGTATTAGGCCTTCAAGTTTTGAACAAGAGTTATACATCTGTAGATCATGTCAAGAAGATTCTAAGGAGTCTTCCTGTGAGATTCAGACCTAAAGTTACAACTATTCAGGAGGTTAAAGACCCGAGGACTCTATGTCTTGAAAGTCTGATAAGCAACCTTCAGAGACATGAAATGGATCTGACTGGAGATGAGCATGTAAAGATGTCTATATCACTGGCTTTAAAGTCCGCTGTTGAGAAATTTGGTGGTAAAGCTCACAAGTCCGCTAGAGTTAGAAAATCAGAAGAAGCTTCTAATGAAGGAGTTTTTGATGATAACTTTGATGACGAGGAAATGACCTTTACCATTAAACGTTTCAACATATGTCCAAAAGGAACATGAGATTATCTAGTCGAAGTAGTGGCTTCAAAGGCTCTAGTTCCAGAGACAAAGATGATGACCAGAAGACCTGCTACAACTGCAACAAGCCTGGCCACTTCAGAGCTGATTATCTTTATCTACAGAAGGACAAATCAAAGAAAGGAAGCTTCCAGAAGGACAACTTCATAAAAAAATTAAGAAGAGTCTCATGGCTACATGGGATGAAATTGATAATGAAGAAAGTTCTGACAAAGATGAAGAAGAAGAAAATCTAACGTTGATGGCTCTCACATAATCTAAAACAGAATTTGAATCTTGCTCTGGTTTAGAATCAGAAGAAAAAGATGAGGTATTTTCTAACCCATCTTGTTCTGATCTTATTTATTTCATTCAAGACCTCATGAGTCATTGCAAAGATAAATCAAGACACATGAAAATCGTAAGGAGATATCATGATCTTTTGAGAGAAGAATTAAAAATTTCTCAAGAAAAATTTGAATCTCTTGTAAAATATCATAAAGCTCTTGTAAATAAAGTTTCTGATAAAACATTAGATGAGCATGAGCTGGCTCTTCAAAGCTTTATCACAATAGTTCTCGAGAGATATAAACTTGCTTCCATGATCTATAGAGTAAGTAAGAGAAAATGAGAAGGTCTTGGTTATAATGGAAAATGCTACATAGTTGAGTTTATAAAGAAACCCTCATATCCTTCTTCTTCTTCTTCTTCTTCTTCAAGAAATGCTTAAACAATGCTGAAAAGTTATTTTGTGCCTGATTCTGATAAAGGTAAGAGTCTCACCCAGTCAGAACCCTAGATGACTGAGTCAAAAGATAAACAAATTAGCACTTGAGACTTCAAAGTAAAAGGTTCTAAAGAAGTAGTTTCTAAGATTAAATAATCAAAGGTTCAGATCAGATTAGAACCTAAGGTTCAAAAGTAAAAAGTTCTAAAGATTCCTGAACTAGTGACTTCTAAGTTAAAGTTTTTGAAGAAACCAGAACCAAGGACCTATAAAACAAAGATTATAAAAGGTGTAGAAACTAAAGTCAAGATCTATCCAAGACAAAGCTTTTATAAGCAAAAAGTCTGGAATGAGTCTAGACCTTTTTATCAGGAAAAGGCTCAAAGAAAAAGGAAACCTTTTAGAACTAACACTAGGGAACCCATAAGAGTATGGGTACCTAGACTTGAAATTGTATTTTATGCATATATGCATAAAGGAAGAAACAAATCCACAATATGAGTTCCAGGACAATGGTTGGCTATTAGATATGGAAGAAAGAAGGCATACATTCCAAATCCTAACACTGAAAGAGGAAGCAAGTGTGGGTTTTGGAAGAAGCCACAATGGACAAATTATGGCTATGAATTCTATATATTCTTTGGTTTCTTCTATTCATCCAGAAGAGCATTGTTGGAACAACGTGTTATTTGAAAACCAATCTGGATGAACAAAAAGAAGTGATAAACGAAAGTAAATATACTATATATTTATCAGTATGAGTACTTAAAGGAAGCTTTTGACAAAGTTCAATCTTGAATACTGATTATCTCTTAGCAACTCCTACCATCTCCATGCTATCAGAACATTAAATGATATTTTCACCAAGATAAGAGGTATGTTTTTACCTTTCAGCTGCAAGGCATGGTATATTATGCAATGTCTGATTGTGTGCAAGATTTTAATTAGATCCTAAAAGAAGTTCACTTAATAATAATTAAGGGAATCTTTTAATATCTAAAAAGTTCATCTAGTTGAATTTTATATTGCTGACTATGCTTAGGATATACCTGAGAGAAAATTCCACTCGTGGAAACTGTCGATTCATTGGTGAAAACTAAATATTTTGAGCTAAGTGAAAGAAAATTATGTTATTACTCTGTCTATAAAAGAAATAGAATTTATATCAGTTGCAAAATATTTCTCACAGCTACTCTAATTAATATATCAGCTAGATAATTGTCAGTTGTGTGGAAACTATCACTTGTGTTGTATGTGTAAATAATCCAATCAAATTCCTTATAACAAAAGAGTTTTTTAAGTGTCACTGTTTGTTGTCTGTTAGAAATAGCTTCGGTCAGAATCAGTGAAACTAACTCTGATAAAAAGTGGCTTCTAACATACTTTATAAATAGATACTTAAAGGTGGATTATTAATTCCTAGAGCACTTCAATGGAAATCCTTATTATCATCTGGTGACACGTGCCTTACTGTAAGATTCCAGGCGTCTAATGGTTGTCCTGCATGCTCAATAGTTAAATGGGAAAAATATGTAGGGTTATGACGATAATCTCTTTTATTCCTGTATTTAGCCTCCGTGTCATCTTTTCTTTAAAAAAATACTTTATAAAATTATTTTTATCCTGTTAAACACTTTATCACTCACCATCTCCACACACTACCCTACACCATCTCTTACAGTTTTCGCCCCTTTGTAAACCCTAGAAAAAACCTTAAACTCCATCCATGGCACCCACTTCATCACCATCAGTTCATATCAATGTGGAATCTGGCGATAATATTTAGGTCAGACCCAAGTCCTTAGTGCTTAGAAGAGATGATCTAAACCTAATCATCGAACAAGTTGTAGATTTCGACAATTTTGCGGCAAATGGGTATAAAATTAAGGGGTATTTTGAAGCTCAAGGTTGGATGAAATATTTCAACATTTTGAATGGTCCAACATATTCTTTTTTGGTCAAAGATTTTTGGGTAAAGGCTGAAGTTTTTGATGAGTACTTTGCAATGAATGAAGAAAGAAATGCTACAGAAAATGACAGGAGCCTGAAGAGCAAGACGAGAACAAAAATGGGTATGAAGGAATTCAAATGTACTGAAATAAGGCCAGTAGTCAATGGAGTCAACATCACACTCACTCAGGATAACATTGCTCAAGTGATATGGATTAATAATTCTGGGATTGTCAAACCCAACTCAAACAATGGGACATAGTTTGCTTCCAAACTCAAAGAACTTCTCTTTGAATTTAAGTCTGATTATGGAAAGGTGAAAAACATGTATCTTGACTACAAACTTCTGTTCAAGATCATTATCAATTGTCTGGCTCCAAGAGATGGTAGTTTTGATTAAATCTCATTGGACCACAAGCATTTTATATGGTTTTTGGTCAGTGAACAACCTATCATTCTTGCTGCTTACATCTTTAATCACCTTTGTGAATCTATCAGAGAATGTCAGAAATTCCATAAAAGAGGTGTTCCATATGCTAGACTACTTTCTGAAATCTTTTATTAATGCAAATTGATCGACTTGATGAAGGAATTCAAGACTAGTGAGAGTTTTGAAAATTTATATGTAAGTATTCTCTCTACAAGTGTGCTGGCTAACGTGTAAGTTATAAAGAAGAAATATTTGTTGATGATTAATGATCCTATCACAATCAAAAGAGGTGAAAATAGAGCATATATGAATAATTTTCCAGTGATCACCAAAGAAGACAATCTTGAAGCTATAAAGGAATATTTATTAATGGTCTAGAGAGAAACTAGAATTACTATGACCATGGAGAATGTATATGATAGATTTGTTAATGTATCTATCGAAAAGGGAAAAGGAAATTGTATGCTTCAGATAAAGGAATATTCACTCAGAAACATGCTAAGAAGAAGCTTCTCAGTGATGCTCAAAAGGCTATGAGAAAAGGAGTTGAGGAAGTGGATGCCACAACAGTGGTCTTGCCAACCAAAACTAAGAGTTGTAGAACTCATAAAAATAAGAAGAATTTTGCTCCTGCTCCTATGAAGAAGAAGACAAGAGTAGTAGTTCTTCCTGAATATGAAGATGTCAAAGAAGAAGAACCTCTGATTAGAAAGTTAGACAATAGGTGGACATTGTTATGTCATTTATGATCATATCAAGTACAAAAGTTCTTACAGAAGATCCTACACCTCATGCTGATAAAATTAACCAGAGTGTTGAAAGGCTTTAAGGGATCAATTGGGAACAATATTTGAATAAGTAACCACATCTAATAAAGTTACTAAAATTGTTCAAGAGGTTATTTCTGGAACTAAGACTATTGCTCCTAAAGATTCTGAAAGGACTGTCGCTGGTATGGTTATTATGGGTGTTGATAAAATGGCCGAGGATTATATGGATGTTGAAGTAGGTCCTGAAGAGCGTGTGGCAGAAGATTTAGTTTGTGCAGAAGGGTCTCTGACTGCTGAAGTTACATCAGGTGACTCTCTTGATCCTCTGTTTGATTCCTCTCTGAATTCCTCACCATTAATGAGAAAGTCTCCAACCACCACATTCTCTGACTCAAACCATAAATTTCTTCCACCACCACCAAAGAACCCAGCTCCACCAAAAAACCTAGACATAATACCTTATTAACCATCATTCCTATCCAATCAACCATCACCCTACCAAGAAACTTATGATCTTTCACTGGTTCAGAAAACTTTTGAAACTTAGTCTGAAGACTCTTCAGAACTTCTTGTAACCGAACCACCTTCTGACCAAATATGTTTACCTCCCCTTTTAGTTGAACCTCTAAAAATATTTCTTACTGAACATCTACCCTCTAACTCCCAATCATCTAGCTCTTCAGCATAATAGACTCAGAGTCATCATATTGATGAACCTGAATATGTTGTATCTGAAGAAATTCAACCAGACACTCACCTATAAAATCAACCATAAATTGAATCTATTTCTAGCCCTTAACCCCCATCTCCAGTCAGAGAAGATGCTCATGTGGCACAAAAAAAATCTATGGAACTAGAAATGACACGATTCACACTGTTTTTACCCCACTCCTCCATCCACCTTACTTGTGGATAACATAAATCAAGCTACACCCCTCCATATTCTTTCTCAAATGGATAAGTTCATAACTGAGTTTTATAATAAGGTCAAGTGTCTAGTCTACGATAGACATGGTACCTCTGATACTACAGCCTATGCTGTAAGGTGCGATAGTTTCAAGATGTTAGTAGACTCTGTCATACATAGTTTTAAATGCTTCTCATCTGAAGTTGTTTCTTCATCAAATCATAGGAGAGTTCATCTTAAGGATATAATAGCTTATGTGGCAAACTCTTATGTTCATATGGGCACTCAAATTTAAGACATGAAGTCTCAGATATCCAATCTATCTGATCATCAAGAGACAATGTGTAACTTCCCAAAATAATTAGATTATTTATTTAATTGATTATGATGAGTATTTTTGATGTACTTATGAGTATATCTGATGTTTTATGAATATGATGTGTGATGTGATGCTATGTGAGGCATAGTGGAAATTAAGTGATATTGGGTGGTTTAAATAATTTTAGATAATTAGAGTAATTATTTAGAATTATTTTAGTTACTAAATTTAGATAATATGAGGTGTAGAAATAATAAGGACAAGATAGTAATTGGTGAAGTGATAAGCGAGGGTAACATAGGAAGACCATAGAAAGGGTCCAAGGGATAAGTTTGACTTAAGGGAAATTTGGAGTTTAGAATGCTCATTCTGTACGATCGCGTTTGGAGAAAAGGTAGAGAGTAGAACTAGGGCATCGAGGAACTCAGAAGGATTCAGTAGAAACGCGAAGACAACATCATTGCTAACTATAATATAAGGTAATGAGGGTTATCCTTATTATTATGATTGATATAGGATTTAGATGTATGTAGGTTGTTTGGGGTTTTATGATGAATTTGATAACATGATGATTATGATGAATCTTTGATGAAATTATGAATAATGGATGCTAATAGTGCCATGATTTGATGTGTGTAATGTGTACTAAGAAGTGTTGTTGTTGTATGATGAGAATATGTGGTTTGTATGAGTTTTGGGTTTGTTTAGATGTGAAACTGCAAGGAAAATTGAGACTGAATTATGTAGAAAATGTAATAGTAGGTTGCTGTCACGCACGTCTTGTCGAGCGAGCAGGATGCTTCGCCAAGCAAAGACTCCTCGCCCTGATGTATTGGGCAACAGAAAAACGAAAGGAACTGGTGGAAAGAAAATAGAGCCCCTGAAATTTGTAAGGCAGCAGTGGACTAGCTCCAACTTCATCGGGCGAAGCATAGGCGAGATGAGCTCGTCGGGCGAGCGAACAGCTTTGCCGGGCGAGCGAATAGCTTTGCCGAGTGTGATACGGTGGGAGAACTGACTTGAGGTTTTGCGTTTATGTTCGCAAGTGTTGCGGTTAGCAAGAGTCGCCACCGACTTTTCTTTTATCCAAAAGGAAAGGTGAAAAAGCACAGGAAAGACCTTTGAGATGTTTTCTTGAGTTCGAGGGGTAGATTATGAAAAGGGAAGGTATTAACACCCTTTTCATCCATGGTTTTCCATGGGCTCTTAGTTACTTGCTTAGATCACTTGCTTTTGTTGTTCGAAATTGTGTTTGGTGTAGTTTTGGAAGTATTTTATAAAAGAGGCCATTGTTTTGGCAATCTTTGTAATGATTCTCGTTCGTAAGAATGTATACAAAGATGTTTGTCTTTTTGAAAATGTTTTCAATGTTTGAAAAAAATGTTTGGAAATGTGTGTGTTTGTTTTGAAAGTATCAAAGATAGTTATTTGAAATGAAGCAAGTAACTAGAAGTAATCTACCTACTCAAATGTCTTTCTTGTGCATTTTCTATTCCTTTGACATTGTTGTCTTACCACTGATTTGGCAAGCAACCCTATCTTTGGATGTAAACGGGACGGACGTGGGTCATCGTATAACCATGATTAGCAATATTGCAAAGTATCTTAGCATTTTTTGAGGGACCAAGATCATTTTTGTAAGGCAACTTTGAATAGCGTCATCGATGGACTATGATCTTATACTTGTTTGTTTTGCCAAGATATTTCACATGCGTAATATGACCATTTTTTGTATAAGGCAACCAAGTGGAGAAGCCCTAAGGATGCTTGTGTGCAAGTGTATCATTTTCATGCTTTGATTTTGTCTTGTATTTAGGGTTTTCTATGTTGCTTTGTTTTGATCTTATCATACAAACCCTAATTACTAATCATGGCATGTAAACCGGTAAATTGCATAATATAAATATTACTAAGCTATTACAACAATTTATGGGAGGGGGGAATACGAATTTGAATGGGGATTTGCAAAAATGTAAACCTAAATAAATTATTACAACCAAATCGAATTTATACGAATTAGAATAAATAAAATACAATATTTAAAGATGCAATATAATGTACATGTCAGAAAAGATTTTTTGTTTTGTTTTTATGTAAAAGAAATTTTAATCTAAACCTAAAAATATAAGGAAAAGAAATTAATTTTTAAAAGGGAGGCTTAACCCTAATTACTATTTTAAAATAAAATGAAGTTCATATGTATAATTTTTTATGTATTTTTTATATTAAAATAGTAAATAATATTGTATACAAAAATATAAAGTTTTTGTATATGCAAAAATAAATATGTATAAGTATGGGATGAAAAGGAAATAAATAAATAAACTAAATATATTTTAATTGTATTTCACAAGTTTATTAAAAAAATGTATGATATATATATATATATATATATATATATATATATATATATATATATATATATATATATATATATATATATATATATATATATATATATTAAAAATAAAATATATTTTTATGTGAAAAGTAAACTAAAATAAAATAAAAATGCAATAGTATGAAATTTACATTTTTTTGGAATTTTTATGCATCAAAGAAATATTTAATATATTAAAATGAAAATAAAATAAATAAAATAAAAATATAAAAAAAGTTGGCAAAGGGGGGTGCTGTAGAAAACTGGCAGCAATGTGTTAGTAAAAAAATGCTAGGCCCAAAAGACTAAGCCCAAACCTGCAAAAAAAAAAAGTAAAATGGAAAGAAGAAAAAATGTGAAAAAACAAAAGTAGCACCCAGGTTCGAACCCAAGACATTGGTCTCACCAACGCGCTAATTTGCCACTGGGGTGACTATACATCCATTGGTTTAAGTG